GATATTCATTTAGGAAATGTCTCTGAAAATTACACGTTTGGTTTACCCCCAGGCATTTTCTTCATCTGTGGTCATGCCGCTTACAAGGTTCTCCCTGCTAATTGGAAAGGACGCTGTACTCTTGGAACATTAGGTCCCTATAATTTGTATATTGCTCAGCATCACAACGTAAAACATGCTAGAAACCCTCATATCTATAAACGTGCACTGAATAAAACTGCTGGTATTGTTGCATTAGATATTTTTGGATGGTTTGTACCAGGTCTCAATGGGCTTGCCACCAATGCTAAGCTAGCATTAATCTCCCAATATAGAGCTACTGCTCTATATTGGGGCGATGTGGTGGCACTGTGGGCTAAATCGCAGAAGCCTGCGCTGCAGGGTCAGAAGACCAAGCAGTCGTAAGATTGAATCCACATGACGGAGTGAGCGCCCGTTGCTTGTCCCAGCTCCCGCCAACCTAGCGGTTCGAAAGCATGCAAATGCGAGTAGATAAATATGGACCACCTCGGTGGAAAGGTAACAGCGTTCCGTGTCTAAGTCGCACTGGCCATGTGACCACGGAAGATTGTCTTCGGACAAAACGGTGGCTCTATGGCTTGGAAACGGGGATGAGCACCACCCCCTAGAGTCGAACACGACTGGACAAAAATTGTCAAGGGGAACCTTTACCTTTATAGAGCTACTAGCTAATACTTCTAAAATTGCCTTCAAAGCCCTACAGACTGAAATAGACTCCTTAGCTAACGTTGTTGCACAACATCGCCTAGGCCTTGACTTCTTGTTTCTTCGTAACGGTGGCTTATGTGCTTGGCTTAATACTTCTTGTTGCTTTTATATAAATAAATCGGGAGTTATTGAACAATCTGTCCTACGGTTGCAAGAAGTCATGGACCATCTAAGGGACACCCCCTCTGAGCTATCCTGGTGGGAATCTCTATGGTCATGGCTTCTAGGTTTTGGCTGGGTTCACTCTTTATTAATGTATTTGGTTATCATTATTGCAATATTGGTTATCGTTTGTTGTTTTGTGCAGTGCATTCCATCCTTTCTCACTATGTGTATACAGTGTTGCAAGAAATCGTCCAAAACTGTCTCTGCGAAACAATTATATCAAGTTAGGTGCCATGCTTTGTACTCTTATGATAATGAATTCTAAATCTGTTAGTGTTTACATTTGGCAACATTTAAATAAACAAAAATGGAGGGGATGTGGGAATGTACACCATAGCTAAACATATAAATGTATTTCTTGTCATGTTAATGTCCATGTTGTATGAACCATGCTGATGTCCTCATGTGATGTAATATGGTGTGTTACTGGGCAGAACGCCCTATTGGCTCATGTAAACCTGACAGTTAATGTTATGTAACCTGTAAGAGAATAAAAGGAGGTGCCAGGCATCATTGGGGGAGCCGTTATCACAGAGAGCTGTTATCACAGAACAGTGATCAGAGAGCCATTTGAACAGCAACTTCAGCCGATGATCCTGAGCACGCTTTGAAATGGTTAATTCGACTGCAGTCTCCTTATTTCAGAGGTCTCTCCCTCCGGAACCTTTCAGAGATCTCTCCCATCACTACAGATTGTTGGAGCCAGATTCCAACAAAGGGGCCTTCTCGGCAGTGGCTCCTCGGCTCTGGAACAATCTTCCTCCTGAGATTCGCATGGCCCCTTCCCTAGGCATCTTCAAATGCCAATTGAAAACCTGGTTTTCCAAGCAAGCCTTCCCTCCATCCACTGTCTGAATTTTTGTTCTTGTGTCTCTTCCATCTTGGATTATTGTGTTTTTTAGTAATATGTTGTCATTTTAAACTGTAAAGTGTTATGTGTCATGTTGTTACCCGCCCAGTCTATTTGACTAGATGGGAGGGCTATAAATGTTTAATAACAATAACAATAACAACAGCAACAGCAACAACAACAACAACAACAACAATATAATAATAATAATAATAATAATAATGACGATGACAATGACAATGACAATGACAATAATAATAATGCAGTTGCTAATCATATTCCAGAGTAGGATGAAGCCAACAGAGAGCCTGCTGCACTGCCATTTCCGCTCTCCTGTTGCAAGTATGGTTGGGAAATGTGGGTGAAGAGTTGGAGATATGCTCCCTCTCACACATATGTTGAACAAATACATGGGCCATGTATCTCTTGTATTTCTTGTATCTCTATGACTAGAGCCATAGAGGAACAAGAAAGCTCAGAATTTTCCCATTTTCCCACACCACACAGATGGTTTAGGGCCTCGATATTTGGTGGAACGCCTTCTGCCACCAAGATCTACCCGTATCACTCGTGCGAGCTGTGACAAACCCAGACCTACTGGGATATGTCACACTGTTACACTAAGCTGCCACCAACCATTCCCTTTAAGAAGTCACACAGACCAGGGATGGATTTTTAAACAATAAAAAGAATAAGGTTTATTTACATACAACACACAGGG